AGACGCGACCTTTGACCCCTGCAGCAGCTGCTTCCTCCTGATTAAAACCTCGCTGAGCTTCAGTTTGTTCACACATCCACACGTCTTTCACTGTACGCCGTTTATACAGATGAGTCACTTTAACCTCGAAACAAAATGAAGGCCCGTGTTTGTGAAACGCTGCAGGTAAGAGCTCCACCTGGCTCAGGTAAGCAGCCAGCTGCTGGGACGATATCTGCCTCAACTCCAAGACTCTGAATATCCATGAGCGTCTCTTTGTCCATCGACACGACAACGTCTGAGTGTCTGCGTGACTCCAGACGATCTCCACAGTTCCTCCTTTAGCCATCGGCCTTTTTCTTTCTTCCATGGTGAGATCTAAAATCAGGCGCAGAGTCCATCATGGAGAGGACCTGGAGGAGACATGGTCCACGTTTGAGTCTGCAGCACAGCCTGTGATGACTTCACATCTGATTCACTGAAGCTTCACAAAGATGCACAAAGGAAAACGTTGTTTTCAGGAGGCTGACCTTCAGCTGTAACTGCGTTTGATTAAAAACTGAAAGGGGAAGCGACGCAAACGCCGCCGCCACATCATGTAAAGTGACGTTTGGAGCGCACAGGTGAGGATGACTCAGCTTCCTGCAGGTGTTTGAGCGTCGCCGGCGTCTCTCCCACAATAAGAAGTCACCCGACAGCGAGAAGCTGAAGGTTTTCACCACAGCTCGTCTTCGTCTCTTTGACAGATGCAGCTGCTGCTTTTCTTCTGCTCAATGACAAGGTGACGCTGAAGAGCTCCTCATTCACTTCACCTCCTCTCCTTCACTGCCTCTTCTCCTCTCTCCTTCCCCACAGGGAAATGAGAGGAGAGGATGAAGAGGAGAGGATGTGATGAGGAAGGGAGGTCGTCTTCTTTGGAAGAACCGTCAGAAAAAAGAGGGCAGGAAGAAAATGAAAAGAAATAAAGAACAAGAAAACTGAAGATGGAAAGAAAGAAAGAAAGAATCTGTCAGGAGATGACATCATCAGTCATTTCCTGGTCCAAACAGCAAGGACGGTCTAAATTCTTTTAGATTCAGAAGTTTGTTTCTATCTACAGATGATAAACCATCACATGAATGCATCAGGCAGGAGTCAGATGGTCTGCAGTGAGAGCAGGGAGCAGGTGGAGGTTACAAACCCAGTGGAGACACAGACAGGAGGAGAGGTAGTGAAGGTGGATGAGCTTAAATAGCTGGGGTCAACCTTAAAGCCGTGGACGGTACCCGAGACAGGTGAAGATGAGAGAGCAGGCAGGGTGGAGTGGGTGGAGACAGGTGTCATGGGTGGTGGCTGAAGGAGAGCAGCAAGAGGTAAAGGGAAGGTTTAAAGATGGCGGTGAGACCTGCTGCGATGCATGGAGGAGGAGGAGGCCCAGCTGAAGGTGTTAGACGCCACAGTCTGTCAGAGGAGGTGTGCAAAGGAACACTTTATCATCCACAGAGGGGCAGTTTGCTTTGGAGCCAGCAACACAAATAACACAAGACAGAATGACAAAATGAACAGGAACAAATGAGGATTCAAGGGAGGGAGAGTGGATATGATGGAGCTGCCAGGCTGGAGGAGAAGAGGACGAGCTCAGAGGCTGATGAACGCAGTGAAGGAGGACATGCAGAGGGTGTGTGTGTGACAGAAGAGGTGCTCGCTCAGCTCTGTGAGAACAGCAGCGACGCCTGGAGGATTGATGATGTGCTGCCACCTGGTGGAGCACGTCCTGCTGGACAGACCGTTCACTATCATCTGACAGAAACACGTCAACACTTTAGAAAGAGAACAGCCTCCATTACAGAGGCGTCTGGCAAACAAGGAAAAGAAGGGAGCTGTGCGACGCTCCTCCACGTGACGTCACGGGCGAGTAGCTCACAGAGGCTGAAGAACTGCTGCTCGTACTGTGTGTCTGTGGCCAGCAGGGGGAGCTGCTGGATAACTTTGACTTCATCTCCACAGTTTAATGAGGAAGCAGGTGTGACACAGACACAGGTGACAGCGTGAGTCACTGAAAAAGGAAGAACCTGTCTGAGCTCCAGGTGTACCTAATAATGTGGCCTGCTCCCAGGTGAAATTTTATTTTGATGCTGAAATCTGAGCACTTCCTCCTCCTGCTGATCCAGTCCAGCCGGTTCCTGGTTTGTGCCTCCTGTGAGCCGTGATGTGGGAGAACCTGCTCAACCCGTCTGACCCCGCCCACCTGCTCCAGGTGACAGCGTCAGCTCACATGCAGCGCAGTCGTCTTTATAAACGCTCGTTTCATCTTCTTCATCCTTTCATTCCCTCGGCCGACATTTTGATTGGATAAAGTTAAAGAGGATGAGTTCTGCTCATTTCCTGCTTTTATTCTTGGAGCAGCTTTGCATGATTCACTGCTCAGAATAATCCTTCTTTGTCTTATGCTCGTGCAGCCCCTCCCTCCATCCTCTGTCTCAAACACGTTGTTACTGTTGTTACACGTTGTTCTGTCTGAGCTTTGGAGATTTCTGAGGTTTGTGTACCTGGACACAAAGCAGTGAAGCGTGCTGGAGCGTCCTCAGAGGAAAATCCCCTGGATTGAAGTTTGCTGGACAGATAAATTCAGACCGTTATGAAAGCTCTCACTGACTCGTGGTTCGTGCATGTGAGCGTCCCCCAAAGGGCCGTTGAGAGCAGGAAGAGCGATAAACAGTTTATTGATTTGGTCTGTCTGTAAATGGTCTGTATTTGTAAAGCGCTTTTACTTGGTCCTAAGGACCCCAAAG